AACCAGGGATCCAGGTGGCCTGTCCACAGAGGGGGACTGAATCTTCATCCTCTCCAGAGCACAGCACTGCTGAATGTCAAAGCTGCCCCTGCTCCTTCCAGAGCCCTTCCCGGTGACATCATGCCACTATCTCCTGCCTGGGCAATAAATAAAACCCACAGACACTTCCCTGGGGACGATCCTCCGCGCCCGGGGCTGCTGCAGGCGGGTGGTGCCGGGGTGCTGCCCGGGATGCTCGGGTCCCCCGGGCTGCCAGCAGGGACAGGGACACTTGCTCGCGGGGCCTGTCCCCAAGCGAGATACGGCACCGCCATCTATCGGCCAGCGCCCGGGGACAGGGAATGACAGACAGACGGACAGCCACCCTCCTGCCCCGCGGGGCTCCGGGCTGCCCGAATCCCCCCACGGGCTCGGAGAGCTGCGGAGCCTCGGGCAGCGTGCGGTGTCCCCGCTGGGAGGGGCAGCGGCCAGACCGGACACGGGCAAGGCCGGGCTGGTTTCGTGGGCTCCGGGCGGGCGGGTGTGTCCCCCCGGCACGGCCCCGCGGGAGCTGCGGGCTCCGAGCCCCTCGGGAGCACCCACCGTGCCCCGCTGCGAGGGGACAGCTGGGGACAAGGCCAGCGTCCCTTCCCAGCCTCCAGCCACCCCGCAGGTCCCTGCTACTGAGCAACGCTTTGCTGTGTTCTTTAGGTGAGCCCGAGCACACAGTCTCTGTGAGAGACCCGGCAGAGTTTCAGCTCTGATTTTTTTTTTTTCCCCTCCCAAAATGATGCAATTCACCTAATTCCAGGAGCTCCCATAAAAACTCCCGATGCCCTGACGCTGCCTGCAGCTTCCAGCTAAGGCGATCCCTCCCTGCAGATTCTTGCCCAAGGACATGGGATCGCTGTTGGTGTGCAGCGTCTGGTGCCAGTCGCAGCTGCATCCTCACCAGAGGGAGCTGTGTCCCACACTGAGGCACAGCCCAGTTTTGGCCCAGTTCCCCACCTTTTTTAGAGCCCTTGGCAATGCTCCAGGTGACATACTGCTCAGGTCTAACGGGCAACTAAAGATGGTTGGATTTCCTGGCACCTCGGCGTGCCAGGCATGGTCAGTGCCTGCCAGCAGTCTCCTGTGTCAGTCCCAAAGCTGTATTGCCCCGGGGGGCATTCCAGGCTTTCTTTGGGACTGACACTGGCTGCCAATGCAGTATCTGCAGACAGATACTGGGCTGGGGAGATTAGGGCTGAAGCCGCCACCAGTCCCCTGGAACAGCCATTGCTTCAGCTGCTCTTGAGGATGATCCCAGGCCAAGCTCTGGTGTCACAGCTTGCCTGAGCTGACCTCACCCACGTGAGGAGGTTTGCAAGAGTGACCCCTGCTGTGCCACTCCCATCCAGCCCAGGAGCAGCTCCTTCCCCACCTCTGTCACCTCCCCAGTGCAACCCCAGCTCCAGCCAGGATGCCACTCTGCAGCTCCTTGTTGGGGGGAATTTGACACAGAAGCCTGCACTGAGTATGGGTGTTCACCCAGCATCTCCCCATCAGAGCAAACATGCCCAGAGCTGTCCCAGCCCAGCCTAGGGGATTGCTTCTTCTAGTGAGTCTCTATAGACAAGAAAGAAGGTTTTCAGCCTCAGCTTTACCTTTCAGGGTATATTCCCTGCCTAGAAAGGGCAATAGCCTTTCAGGCTATTCCCTGCACTGCCATGCTTGGACAGAGGCAGGCAGGCTGGGACCAGCCCAGCCCAGAGCTGCCTCTCAGTCTAAGCCAGGCAGCGATGTGGGTGAGGAGGGGGTTCCCAGGCCCACCAGAGGCAATGTCTGCTCTGTGTCCAGGAGCCCCAGTGCTCGTGCTCAGCACTGCTGCAAGGCCGGGAGGTCATGAGAACTTGTACAGCTTTATTGGAGCCTGACACAGCCCTGAGGAATCCCAGAGCCAGGGTGGGTTGGGGCTGGAGGGAGGCTGGGAGCCCATCTCTGTGCTCCCCATGGGCTCCAGCCACCTCCTGCCACCCAGCAGGGCTGTCAGGCACCCACTGCAGAGGGGCAGCAATCAGGGCAGCCCAGGGTGCTGGCAGAGCCCAGGGATGTGCTTTCCAGGGCAATGCCCCCCTGCCTGCCCCCCAGCTGGGCTGACAAAAGCCTCTGAGCACTGGGACCCCAGTGCCCTGTGTGGGGTCACGAAGGCAGGAGCAGCTCAGGAGCCCACTGGCCCCAGCTGAAGGTACAGGACAGACACTGGAGAGATCTCCCCCCTTCTTCCTCTGAGTAAGACGAACCCTCAGCCCCAGCTTCCCTCAGCCCAGCTCTGCCCTTAACCTGCAGGAGTGCAGCCATCTCCAGTTACCCCAGGAAGGCAGCTGGGGGCTCCTGAGCTGCTCCTGGCACAGAAACCTCGAGCTGCCTGCAATAGTTTGGGCTTGTGCCACAGCACAGCAGCACAGCCCCAGACCTACCACTGGGGCAGGGCCGGGCCAGTGGTGCTTCCCAGCTCTGCAGGGTCGGGGGCTGCAGGGCTCTCCCGGCCCAGAACACACCGGGACAGAGCTCAAGGGCAGCTGGACACAGGAAGGCAAGGCAGCAAATCCCTGCCTGTGCTGGATGTGGCTGGGGATCCTGCAGGGAGGTGAGGGAAAAAGGGATTGTCTCCAAAACTCTGCTGGGCTGAGCGTTGCTGCCTTGCTGGAAAGCCAAAAATAGTCTCTTTACTCAGAAGAGGCTGTAGGAGGAGAGATCTCACTCGAAGCACAGCCAGATACCGAGGAGGCCATAGGACAGACCCAGAGCAGCGTGGCAACACTGAGGCATTATCAGACCTTGGAAAGACAGCAGCCAGAGCTGAACCAGCCAATAACTCCATTGCCTCCAGGCACCTCGTGATGCCAAAGGTGCCAGAGGAACCAGTCTGTCTGGCACCCCCGTCCTGGCAGAGCTGGGGAGCAGCAGCAAACTGCCACGACCAGCCCTTGGTTTGTGTCAGGCATTCAGCTCAGAGATGGCAGCAGGACATTTTTCCTGTCCATTGTGGCCTGGCCCAAGGGATATCTGGGAATCCCCATGGCAGCTCCACCGTCCCTGCAGTGCCAAACCCAGAGCAGGCAGTGCAGGGCTGCTGCTGCCTGCACTGTGAAACCCCAGCTGCTGCTGGGAGGCTGGCAAAGCGCCGGGAGAGCAGGAGGGCTGTGCCCTTGCCAGGGGAGTGCTTTAGGCCAATTGCTCACATAGCATTTCTGGGCTGTGCTGACTCACCATCTCCCTGTTCCTGGGGGTCTCACTCCCTCCCCCAGCACTTCTGTGGGTTGTTATTCCTGGAAAACATCCTAGAGACACTTTCAATCATGCCTTCATCCACTGACATTTATAGAGCTTCTTCCAGCAGCTGATAGACTTAACAGTGTGAATCTTGCCCCAGTCTGTTTATGCTTTTCCCTCCATGGGGTTTGCCATTGCCCCAGTGTGTGGTGAGAGCTCAAGGCAAAGCTGCAGCTCTGCTGCCAACAGCTTTTGGCTCCTGGGCAGAGACCAGTCCTGGCAAAGCCCAGCTGTACCCATCTTCTGCAAACTCCTGTCTAATGCCCTGCCCTCCAACCTAATCCTGCTCTGGTCTCTCCCAGCCATCTCTGCTTCTCCCTCTTGGGTGGAGGAGCTGCAGGGCTGCCAAATCTTGCAATACTCAGACTATTTCTTAAAGTCACAGCTCCTGAAATAGTGGGAAAACTTCAATTTCCTGACCTCCTCCAGCTTTTGTGTCTTTAAGGAGTCTCTCACCCTTCTGCTTGTGCAGGAAAAGCAGGGACCAGGAGCTTGCAGCCCATGCCAGGGAGCAGAGGATGGGCGCAGCACACAACCAGGAGGACCCAGGCTGCAGAGCAGTGCCAGGGACATCCAGACCTGCCAGGCAGCCATCAAAAATCCCACTGGTGGTCATTCAGCTTCCCTCACCACCTTGAGGAACCAGGGCAAGAGAGATGTGTAAGAGAAAGGTGCATGCAGGGCTGGGCTGGGGCTTGGGCAAGGTGTTAAGCACCCAGCCATGCAGTGCAGGGGTCCCTGCCCCCCAGCCATGCTGGAGCCCAAAGCCACTGAGAGCAGCACATCCCCCTTGCTTACCCAGCAGCCTTGCCAGCCACAGGAAAACCCCTCTGCCCTCACCACAGCCCACTCCAGCAGTCTTTTGGGCAGGTCAGGCCAGCAGATCCTCCGGAGCAGCTCTAATCCGACCCAGATACCCACCAGCAGCACATACCACAGCTGTGAATGCGTTTCCTCCAGGGAATTATTTTGGGCATGCCTCTGTGGGACACGTGCCACACCTGAAAATACTGGGAGAGTCAGGCATCACCCACGAGCACCTTGTTCAAGAAACCCAGAGATCTGCTCTGGGCAGGTCAGCAAAATGAGGCAATACTTTAGTGCTCAGCTCACAGTTGGGTGGGACCCTGAAATAAACTGGCATCGAGGCAATTAACAAGTTAAAAAAAGTTATTCTACTAATTACCACTAGATTGGAAAAAATATTAGCACTTTGAGCAATCTTGAGACGCTCATCAAGCATCAAACTAGTCTAATTACTCAAATTTATGGGGGAAAAGCTCTGCTGAGCCCCAAATCTCCTGCATGAGGTGCACAAAGCCAACCAGCCTCACCCAGCACCAAATTCCTGTGCTGTTCCTGACACACAATCCCTCCTGCCAACGTCTCCATTTGGAAGCTTCCTGAGGACCCCCAGTCAGACAGAGGGTGTGGGACTATGCCAAGGAACATAAGCCTCAGCTTCTCCTCCAGGGTCACAACTCACAGCAGCAGCAGGTGATGGACCATGACCCAGAGGGGATGGGGGCACCCTCGCTCCTGCATGTCACCAGGGTGACTGGGCCAGACAGGCGCCCTTCTCCCACCCCCAGGCTGCTCTTCCCTCCCCTGCTCTGGCATCCATCAAAAGAGCTCAGCACAGGCACATTCAGAAAGGCACAGTGCTGGGAGCTGGGCCATGCTGGAGTAAGAATGGGACATGAGGATAGAGCAGAACTGTTTTTATTGGAGGTGTCAAGAGCAGGAACAAGAACAAACCTACAGGCTCCCTCCTCAAGTGCCATCCTCCCCTCGCCCACCACCACCACCACCACCGGGGCAGTCAGCATCACTGTGCGTGCTACGAGACAACGGCCAAGACTTGCACTTTGCTTCAGCCAAAAGCCAGACCAAGCCCCCAGCATCCCGCTGTCACCCCCTCCTTGGTGACTGCGAGCTCAGCTTGGCCCTGCTGGGGCAGGCCAGGACATTCACCTTCCCTCTGAGCAGGGCTGAGTTTTGCGTGAGATGTTGTGGTTAAGGGAATCAGGAGCACAGCTCCACCAAAGTGCCAGGGCGTGTGACCTGGGCTGCAGCTGCCAGCAGGACATCTCGGAGGAGCCCAGCAGAGAGCAAGCTGTGCAGCCTGAGCAGAGCTGCAACAGCCACAGGCAAAAAATGGCATCGCTAAACCCCAAAGGGCTTCACTGCCCCTCTCTTCAACACAACCAAACCAAAAGGGAGAGGGGTCAGAAGACACACCAGGAGGGGATGTGAGACGGGTCTGGAACGGCGTTTGGCTCTGGATCACTTGCCAGCCCGACGCTCCTCCTGGCGCTTGGTAAGGATGTATTTGAAGAACTCGTACACAGACCAGGCAATCGCCGTCGAGGGCATCTGAAAAATGACTCTGGCCTGGACCCCTCTGAAGTAGGCGGTCACACCGCCCACTTGGTACACCGTCCTGAAGGCATTAGCCATGCCTGTGATGTGTCCGCTGATGTTGGAGCTCAAGGCCAGCGACTCCTGGGTGTTGAGCAGCGTTTTGCAAACGTCCAAAGGCGTAGTGGCTGCAGCAGCCACAGCCCCCGCGCAGGCTCCGGACACCACGTGGGAGCCTGGGTTGTACTGTCTGTGGGGGTTGAGCTGCTCCTGCAGGAACTCGTAGGTCATGAAGTGAATGGCTTGGAAGGGGATGTTCATGGTGAGCTGGGTGGTGTAGCTGCGGTAGAAAGCTCCGGCCCCTTCGTTGTGCCACACGGCCCGTACGCAGTCCATCACGTGCTGGTAAGGCGAGTTGTACATCTGCATCCTCTGCTTCACCACTTGGCACAGGCGGCGGCAGCAGCCAGGACCAGGCACGGGGCGGAAGAGGAGAGAAGAGAGAAGGGTAAACACAAAGCCAGGCTTCCTCCAACTGCTTGGAGTTTGGTCATGCTGGCCTAAGAGCTGAAGAGAGACAACTCGAACCACCAGTGCTCATGTGTCTCCAGACAGGACACCAGCTATTTAGAGCTGTTGAGGCATCACTGTCACACAGACATCACCACTATGAGGCCACTCACATGCCACAGTCCCAGGGAATATCCTGATATCCCACTGATTACAGTCCAGATCCACCCTTGCTCCCAAGCAACCGATGTTTCCCCATCCACTGCTGCAGAGCTATCACTCAGGCAGAAGAACCCCCTGGCATCCAGCCTCTTATTTCCCAGACAGCTCTCGGTGTGGGTAAGACCGTCCCTCCCCTGCCACTCCCAGTGCAGCCCAGAATAACCACAGCTCATTGCAGAGCCCACTAGCCAGGAACTGTTAGCAGCCACTGCCAAAATGCAGCCACTCCAGGCAAGGTTCAGGCACCAAACCCCCCTAACACATCCAAGAGTGGGATGAGGGAGTCCAGAGCACAGCCTGCCACTGTTCTACCTCCCCCTATCTCAATGTGACCATAAGGAGCTAAAAATGATGCCATGCTGAAGTACTACACTCGTGACAAGGGAAGCTCCATGACAATGGTCTGGCAGCTGCCTGCTCCTCGGGGTCCCTGTCATGCAGTGGGGAGGCAGGCTCTGTGTCCTGATCAGCTGGAGCCTGCACTATCACAAGCCCTCCAGTTTTAAGAGGAAAAAATACCTTAATGACTGGCCTTTCCTCGTTGCTTCTCCTTCTTCCACCACTTCCATGGATTTAATAAAAGTACTAACTCCCTATACCTTTTTCATATATACCAGGCTCATAGAAATCAGCATCTTCCAGACATTTTGCAAGCTCTCCCTTCTCCCAACTTGTCTAGCATGTTTTTATACCCCACTCTTTTAATTCTCCTCTTGAACACAGGCCCACAACTGTACCATCTCTTCCCTACATCTCAATACAACAGTACCCAGCTTCCATGCACTTAGAATGATTTTGGCAGTGCCAATCACATCTCTCTTGCCTTCTCTCCTGCTCCAGGTAACAGTCCCCAGCCAAACTCCTGGATGAAAGGCCCATGCCCTCCCTCCCAACTCCTCCTAAACCGTGGTTTGCTGTGCTCCTGAGTTAATCTGTTCTACCTACCCTGTCCATAACAGGCAGCTGCCAGGGTCCCTAGCTGGAGCCACAGGCCCCTAAAGAACCCCTGCAGTCAGGCAAGAACAAGAACACTCTTTGTACTACAGAGGGGACCCAAGAGGCTTGGGCAGACCCTGATTGTCCCCTCCTGGCAGGCCGAGACCATCATTACCTTCAGCAGGGTTCATGGCTGCATCGTGGAGCAAGGTTGCTACACACCCGGCTGCACCTGCAAAACAAGAACTGCCACATGTGAGGGGGGGAAAGGTGAGGGACCCTGGGACTCCACCACAGCCCCAGGTCCCTGGCCAAGGCGCAGGAGGAGGCCCCTGAAAAAGGTGAGATCTGAAAGTGGCCTCCATCTCCCTTCCAAAAGGCAGGCTGGTCCTCAGGGGTTCCCCCCCAGAGTGAGATAGAGAGGGAGAAGATTGTGACAGGCTGCCATGTGCCATGGGGTGACTGGGACTCATTTGTGCCTGCTCCTTGGGGGACAGGCCAATGCCACCAGCTGGCAGGGAGGCCTTGGGATGGCGGGTGTTCCCATGTCCCACGGAGAAGCCCGCCGGCACTCCTCTGTGCGCCTGCCAAGGGCGGAACACGCCCTGCTCTCCCCTCAGCCCCGTGCTCCCCCTACTGTGGCGGGTCCTTGAGTCGAGTAACGGGCACCATGGCGAGACGGGCTCCGAAACCATGTGGCATTCCTGGGGCGAGCTCTGGCACTGCCAACGCACGGGCCACGGCCAGTCCCAGCTTGTCTGCAGGCAGCTGCTGTCCACCGGCATCCTCCCGAGCCAGGGCCACCGACCTGCTCCGGGCCAGACACCCGGCAGCAGCTCTGGCAGGCGCGGAGCGGCGCTTCCCGTGCCCGGCACCGTGCGGCTGGCTCATGGCTGGAGAGAGCACAGGGCTTTAGGACATCCAGGCACCCCGACCCGCGGCGGGACCTCCCTACCGCCAAACCTGCCGCTCCCGCCCCGCTCCCACCCGGGCGCGGCGGGGCCGGTACCGTTGGCCACATGGCTATTGCCCCCTGCGTGGATAACGTCGCTCAGCGTCTTTTTTAACTTTTCGTAGCAGGCGAAGTAGAGGGCGTGCGCCGGCCCGGCGCCGGTGGCGGTGATGTTCAGGCCCCGCATGGGCCGCCAGACGCCCTCGGTGCGGGCGATGCGCCACAGGGCCTCCAGCACGTTCCGGTAGCGAGCGGCGGGCTCCGGCTGCAGGCTCTGCATCCGCGTCTGCAAAACGGGGCGGGCCCGGCCGCGCGGCCCGTCAGACCGAGCCCGGGGCTCCCGCGCCGCCGCCCCGGCCCCTCCCGCCCCGCGCCTGCCGCACCTTGACGCAGTCGATGGGGTACATCACGCAGTGCTCCATGACGCCGGCCACGGCGCCCGCCAGCATGTGCGTGGACACGGCGGCGCCTTGGGGCAGCGCCTCGTAGTCGGGGGCGGGCGGGGAGCGCGGCTCGGGGCCCCCCGGGCCGGGACCGGGACCCGGCGCCACCTCCGTCTCCGCGCCGCCCCGCCGCGCCCGGCCCGCGCCGCCGCCGCCGCCCATCAGCAGCAGCAGCACGCGGCCCGACTCCGCGCCGCCCCGCGCGCCGGGGCCCGCGCCCGCCCCCGCTCCCGCCCCCAGCTCCATCGCGCCGCCGCCGCCGCCGCCGCCGCCCCGGCCCGCGCCCGCCGCGCCCCGCGCCGCCCCGCCCCTCCCCGCCGCCCATTGGCCGCCGCGGGCCGGCGCCCGCCCCTGGGGCGCGCCCATTGGCTCGGCGGGCCGCGCGCCGCCCACGCACGCCGCGCTAATTGGCCGCCGGCGCCGCGGCTCGGGCGCCGCCACTGGCCGGCCGCTTCCTCGGCGCGTTCGGGCGCGCTGCCCGTTGGCCGCCGGGACTGCCCGCCCTGCCGGCCCTCGCAGCCCATTGGGTGTCTCGACTCGGCGCCCCGCCCCACCGCGCAGCGCATTGGCCGGTGCGCCCGCGACCTTTGGCCCGCTCGCCCCGCCTCTCCGGGGGGGCCGAAGAGCCTCCATTGGTCGGCGAGCCCGCCACTCCGGACGTGGGCGCGTGCTGTGTATTTGGGCGCCCGCGATTGGCTGGAAGGCCGCGCGTGACGCCTCCCGGCGAAGGTCGGACGCGGGAGCAAGGGCGAAGCCGGGCTCCGCCCCCGCCCGCGCGAGGGGGGCGCGCCCCGCCCGGTTCGATTGGTCGCGGGGCAGCATGGGCGTGGCTGCAGCAAGGCGGGCGGAGCCGATTGGCCGCCGCGGCGCGGGGGGCGGGGCTCCGCCGGCGGGGCGCGGCGGCGGCGGCGGGCGGTGACGTGTCCGCCGGTGCCGGCGGCGGTGCCGGCGGCGGCGATGCGCGGGCGGGCGGCAGCGGGCGCACATGGCCAGGTGAGCGGGGCCGGGCCGGGGGGTCGAGGCCGGCGCGGTGCCGGTGCTTAGCGGTGGTCTGTACCCTCAGGGTCGGCGTTTTCTGCCTGTCGTGGCGCTCGGTGGGACCGTGCCCGGGGCCGCGGCAGCGCCCGGCTGTGCTGGGGCTCGCTCTCCTCTTGGGGCTGCTGCTGCTGCTGCTGGCGGCCGCCGTGCCCCGCCGCTGGGCCGCGCCGCCCCGCGCCTCCCGGCGGGACGAGAGGTGAGCGTGGACTGGGCCGGCGGGGAGCGGGGTCACCGGCGGCCGCCGGTGCTGAACCGCCGTGCCGCCGTGCCGTAGGTACCTGGCGCGGGCGGAGGAGCTGACGGCCACGGACACCGAGGACTCGTCCCTTAATTACGGGGTGGTGGTGGACTGCGGGAGCAGCGGGTCCCGGGTTTTCGTCTACTTCTGGCCCCCGCACAACGGGAACCCCCACGACCTGCTGGACATCAAGCAGATGAGGGACCGGAGCAGCCGCCCCGTCGTGAAGAAAATTAAACCCGGTGCGTGCTGCCCCTCTCCGGTCCGAGCCCGACCCCCCGCGCACGCACGGACGGGGCGGGCTGGCTCACGACACTTTCCTCGCCAGGCATCTCCGCGGCCGCGGCCGCCCCCGAGCAGGCCACCCCCTACCTGCGGCCGCTGCTGCGGTTCGCGGCCGCGCACGTCCCGCCGCGCAAGCACAAGGAGACGCCGCTGTACATCCTGTGCACGGCGGGCATGCGGCTGCTGCCCGAGCGGTGAGTCCGCCGCCCTTGTCCGGCGAGCCTGGGGTGTGCTGGGATCCCTCAGCCCCGAGGAGGGGCAGTACAGATGCCTGCTCCTGCAGGACCTTGCGGGAAAATCGAGATTCCTGTGGGGGGGAATGAAAAAGGAAAGGGTGCGTTGTAGGGGTGAGTGGCAAGGGATGCAGAACGAGGGTTTGAGCATGCTGGGAGGGAGCTGAGAGGAGATGCTTTTGACTGAGGATCTCAAACAAATAGATCTGTTTTTCATCTCCAAAACATGCTGGCTGCAGCAGCAAAACTTGTGGGGTTGAACGGGAGCTGTAGTGTGGTGTGATTCCTGGTCTCTTCACCTGCATCTGTCCCTCGCCTTCACCCTTGCAGGCAGCAAGCTGCAATCCTGGAAGACTTAGTGACAAATGTGCCCCTGGAGTTTGATTTCCTCTTCTCCAAATCACACGCAGAAGTGATCTCAGGGAAGCAGGAAGGTAGGAGCTGCCACAAAGCACTGCTTGTTCCTCTTTCGCATATTGTTGTAATGACCTCTTCTATCTTGTGCAGGTGTCTATGCGTGGATTGGCATCAACTTTGTCCTGGGACGGTTTGATCATGAGGATGGTGAGTCTGGCTGCTTGTAGAACAGCTGGGAGGGTCTAAGCAGAGTGTGCTGGACTTTGTACCAGTGCTGTAGCTAAGATCAACCTCTGAAGCATGTTATAAATGTGAAACTTTCCTGGACCTGGGAGGTGACCAGGTGCAATTGGCCCTTTGGGTCTGCCAGCAGAGGGGGAGGAGCCCCATGAAGCAGCTCTGGGGTGATGGTGGAAGGGAGAAGATGCTGCCCCAGGCCTTGCCTCTTGCTGACATGCTGCTGTGGGTTGCAGAGGAGGATGCAGTGGTCACCGTAGCACTCGGAGATCAGGGGAAGTCCCTGGTTCGGAAACGAACAGTTGGGATCCTTGACATGGGAGGCGCCTCCCTGCAGATTGCCTACGAAGTGCCCGACTCCGGAGCCATCTCCTCCCCACAGCAGGTGCGTGTCTGGTCCCCGAGAGCAGCTCCTGCCTTCCCTGGATTGCTGCTGATCATGGACCTATGTGTGTCAGCAGGACGAGGCTGCCAAGAGCTTGCTGGCAGAATTCAACCTGGGCTGTGACGTGCAGCACACTGGCCACGTGTACCGTGTCTACGTCAACACTTTCCTGGGCTTCGGGGGCAATTTTGCCCGGCAGCGCTATGAGGAACATGTGCTGAACCAAACCTATGTGCACAACCGGTATTGCTGCCTCACCTAGGGGTGCCCCCACTAGAGCATTGTGAAATGGGGTGCTGGTTCCTTCATGCTGTGCTCTCCCCCTTGGATATGCCTCACTCACGAGCTGCCTGTGGAGATAACAGCTCCCACAGCCACGCTGGCAGCAGCTGGTGCCTGGGCTGGCAGAGAGTGCTTGGCTGCTGCTGTTCTCCAAGCCTGGCAGGCGTTATCAGTGCCACAGCTCCCTACCTTCCTCCTTCTCTCCTTGTGACAGGCTACAGGGAGGCCCCTCCTAGTGGCTTTTGGCTTTTCCTGCTCTGACTTCCCCTCCTCCAGCACCGATTCACTCAACACATCTTTCCATTGCATCCCCACCTTGAGCTCTCCTGTCTCTCCTTTCCTTCCAAGAGCACTACATGAAGCTGTCGCCACAGTTGGAGGCTTGGTGCCCAGGTACTCCTGTGCCGGGAGCAGCCCCTGCCTCCAGATCCCCAGGGGCTGTGCAGAGGCACAGATCCCCATGGCCTGGGTGGGGTGGGCTGTGCCTTCTTGCACCCTAGAGGTGCTCAGAGCATGTAGCTGCAGGCCAGCGTGACAGATCTGGGGAGTTCAGCCTTAGCAGGAGGTGGCAGTGAAGGCACCAGCTCTGCAGGGCACAAGAGGACACAGCCTAGTCTGGTGCAGAGGGCATTTGGATGTGGAACAGGGCTAGATTAGGCTTCTGGGATGTGGTATAGGACTCCCTGTGCAATTGCCATTTTTCCTGGACTGTTTTCCAGCCTGCACAACCAGCAGACAGGGCTGAGCCCTAAGATGCCCTTCTTGGACCCCTGCCTGCCTGTGGGGCTGGAGGACACGGTGGTAAGGGGTGGCCAAACCCTGCACATGAGGGGACGAGGGGACTGGCAGGCCTGTACAAAGCTGCTGCAGCCCCTCCTGGCAGGGTCCAATGGCAGCCATGCCTCCCTGGTGGAGACCTACAAAGCACCCATCGACTTCAGCAACAGCGAGTTTTACGGCTTCTCAGAGTTCTTCTACTGCACTGAGGACGTGCTGCGCCTGGGGGGCCAATACAGTGCCCCCACCTTCACCTCTGCTGCCCAGGTGGGTGCTGCCTCAGCCCAGGGGAGCTGGGCTGCTCCTGGGCTAGGAGTGAGGGCGATTTCTCTGTTCTGAACCCCAACTTCTCCTTCCGCCAGGAGTACTGCAGCCAGCGGTGGGAGGTGCTGACTCAGCGTTTCCGCGGCGGTCTCTACTCGGCGCATGCTGACCAGCACCGGCTGAAGTAAATGCACCGGCTGGGAGGTGCCACGGCTGGACCTCCTGGGGGCCTTTTGCTGGGGAAAGGGACCAGCACAGTTGTTAGGGTCAGGCTGATGCTCCTGTCTGCTGTGTCCGCAGGTATCAGTGCTTCAAATCAGCCTGGATGTACCAAGTCCTTCACGAGGGCTTCCAGTTCCCACTGGACTACCCCAGCCTGCGCACAGCCCAGCTGGTGTACGACCGGGAGGTGCAGTGGACCCTGGGAGCCATCCTCTACAAGACGCGGTTTCTGCCACTCAGGTACCATCGGCTGGCGGGTGGCGTCACAGAGAAGGGTGGCTGGGGAGGGGCAGGAGTAACTGCACTGGGTGAGGGCTCTGCACAGAGCATGGCAGGTCCCTGGCAGTGCCCCACTGCATCTTGTGGCCAGTCCTGTCGTTCCTCTCCGTAGGGATCTCCGTCAGGAG